CATAGAAAGGGTGCCAAAAAGTAAGGAGGCGCTCACGGGAAGGACAGAAATTCAGAAGGATGCAAGAAACCAGATTAAAGGGGCTCTGGAAGGCCTCGTCAAGGACAGATGGGGCATCAACAGAAACCGTGGTGGTTACCTGGATTATAGCCCTGAGTACAAAATGGGAACCCATGGCCACAGTGTGCGTGTGTGCATGTTTGTATGTGTGTGTAGTGTGTGTGTGTGTGTGTGTGTGTGTAGAGTCACGTGCTGCACAACACCCTCTGTGTGTGTGTAGAGTCACGTGTTGCACAACACCCTCTTTGTCCACAGTGACCTCCTATAAGCTGGTGGTCCCACAGAGTCAGGAATCCCTACTGCCCAGTGACATTGGAGCACATAGTTACTTGCCTGTTTTGTGGTGATGGAGATGTGAAGGAGCCTCCTGTCCTGCCAGTCACATATTCATAGAGCACATCCAACCAGGTTACTGGGTTTTGTATTTTTACTATTCTGTACTTTTAATTGTTATTTTAGAGTGTGCGCTTTCTACTCCAAAAAAAAAAAAAAATCCAGTTACTGTAAAACAGCGTGCTGTGTTCCACCAGCAGCAGCTTCCTACATCTCCTGCTGCTGCATTTCTCTGATTACATCAAGAAGCCACATCAAGAGCCAGGTACAGTGGTGGCACATGCCTTTGATCCCAGAGGCTTGGGAGGCTGAGGCAGAAGGATCACAAGTTCAAAGCCAGCCTCAGCCATTTAGTGAGGCCCTAAGCAACTTAAATTCCTGTCTCGGAATTTTAAAATAAAATAAAAAGGACTGGGGATGTGGCTCAGTGGTGCCTGTTATCATTTTGAGAAAGGCTCTTATCTCGCTAGCCACCCACACTGACAAGATGAACTGGGTTCACGAGAGCTGCCTGCAACATTAAGGAAGGAAAAAGCCCAGGACATAGAAGTAACTTTCTTACTGAGGGTGTAACTGCTCTGTGACCTCAGGGTTCCTCTTCCATGCTGGAAGTCAAGAGAGCGAGTGCACTCGGAATCCCTTTATTTATGGGAAAAAAAAGACAAAARATTTTTGGTAGAATATGACATTTGGCAGTTTTAGCAGCCTTTGTCAATAACTTACATTTTATGATATTTGGTTCTTGACAAACAGCTTCTGCAGAGTGAAGAGGAGTCAAATCTTGACTGGAGGAGGTTGCAAAGAGCAGAAGGGGAAGAGTTATGCTGTAAAACTGGGGCTTGGGGAGATTATATTATTATCTTTTATCTCCTTCAACATAGTAAGTGTATTCAGTTTAAAGTCTATATCTGATAACTCAAAAATCTGGAGTCCTCAGGCAGGGGACAAGGTTTCAAGATGGAGTCTTGCTTCCTGATGTCTGTGGTCAGAAGACTGATTGACATCTTGGCAAGTCACACCCACCTCAGGTGCTGTGTGGGATCACGGGAAGAAGGAGAGGAGAGGGGCACTTGCATGGCACAGCGCAGTCAGTGTGCAATGCCAGACCTGTCCGATCATATAGCTCCAATGCACATAGCTCACACACAAAGCCTATGGATGGCTTTCGACACTCTCGCTAAGTTGCTTAGGGCCTCACTGAGTTGCTGAGGCTGGCTTTGAGCTTGGGACCCACCTGCCTCAGCCTCCAGAGTCACTGGGATTACAGGCCTGCCCCACTGTGACTGGGCTAGTTTTAAAGTCTGGATCTGATAATGAAAAATCTGGAGTCCCTCTTGGCCTGTTTCTATGAATTTATGCATTTGTTTCCTAGGTTGTTTTATCTTTTACATATTTGATTTTTTATATTGTATGCCAGACACAGTAAGTACAAAATCATATAAATAATTGATGGCCAAGTATGATGTCTCTTTTTCCAGAAAGGATCCATATTTCTCACACCTAGGAATCTTGGATCATCTTCAAATAAATGCAAAAATTGTGAAGATTTGAATCTGAGCCACAGCCCCTGCTCTGCCCATAGTAAAATGGTTTGTCCAAATTACTTAGGCAATCTTTACAGGAAGCACAAACTCCTCGTTGTAATCAAGGGCTGCACTGAACTGTAGCCATGTTCTTGTTTTCTTCATGAAAAAGCTGTTGTTCCGTGGATGCTATTTTACAATGAGCATCTCACAATCCCTTCTTGCCGGAAGTCTGGCTGGGCACAAAATCATGAGCCACCACACACCTTGTAGATTCAAACAGCAACTCTTTATTCCCGAACTCACACCGGCCCTCTACAAACACGTTCTGGGGAAATTCACGTTCTGGGCAAAATCCATGTACTCCACCAGGCTCTATCAGCAGGATACGCCCTATTCCCGGCAGGGTACACCTTAAACCTGGAACAGCCCTAAACCCAAGGAGCGGGATACTCCCTAAAACCTGATCCTCCCTAAACCCCGATCCGCCCTCGTCCTCGAGCAAGGTCACCTTACTCAAGCATACAAGCAATGTCACTGCGAATGTCCAAGGCAAGTCCATTTCCACGAGTCCTTCCTCTAAGCAACATGGGGTACGCTGGCAAGGAAATTGTCATACCTACTTGGCTAATGGCTCTCAGCACCTTCTGGTCTTAGGCAGCCTCTCAGATGATACCAATGACACCTACACCCTKGCAATCCCCCAGACCTGAGTAGGAGTGAACCTGGTGACAGAATGCAGCTAAAGTGATGGAATGTCACTTCTAACATTAGGTTACAAAGACACTGTGGCTTCCATCTGGCCTGTGCTRTCTCACTTTGTCACGTGCTTGCTGCCATACTGCAAACTGTCAATGGAGAAGCCACCCAGCCAGGAAGTAAGGAGGTCTCTGGCCAACAGCCAACAAGGAACTGAGGCCCTCAGGCCAACAGGATACGGAAAGCATCCTGCTGAAACCCAAAGAAGGRGACCTGCGAGTCCATCCTCCTAGTCAAGCTTTGAGATGGCTACAGCCAATACCTCGACGGCAGCCTCATGAGAAACCTGAACAGGAGACAAGACCTGCTCACATTTCTGATCCACAGGAATCATGAGATAAAAATGTTTGACGTTTTAAGCCACTGAGGTTTGGAGTGATTATGTTACTTGTGAAAGGTAAAGTAACCAAGGGGGAAAAACATGCACATCAGATAATAAAAACAGTCCAAGAAGGACTTCAGATTTTTGAATTATCAGATGTAAACTTTAAACTAAATATACTTACTATGTTGAAAGAGATAAAGGATAATAACATAATCACTCCAAGCCCCAATTTTGCAACATAACTCTTCCCCTCCCTCTCTTTGCAACCTCCTCCAACAAAGACTCCTCTTCACTCTGCAGAAGCTGTTTATCAAGATCCAACTGTCATAAAATATAAATTATTGACAAAGGCAGTTAAAACTGCCAAATGTCAAAGTAATCTAGCAATATAATATATATATAGATATATATAGTTTAAAATACACATATCCTTTGACCCAGCAATCATTTCTGTCCCATAGATTCCACAGAAGTAAAAGCACCTAAAAATAGACATACATTATTGCAGTCTTGTTTCAAATGACCTTAAACTAGAAACATATTAATGCACAACATTAAAAAAAATCTGAATAAACTATGGTATATCRGACTATAAAACAGTACAGGACCTTAAAATAATGTAGCAGAACTATGACAAAAGACTTGGAGCAGTTTCTACAATGTGTTGTTAAAGAAAACCAAGACAGAATAATACATGATATGATCACATGATTGTAAAGTAATGATTTTTATTTAATAGGTGCAGATATAACCCAGTGAGGGTGCTCTCTGGAAGTAGCAGATCTCTGATGCTGATTTTTATCTCATTGGGAAGCTTATGGGGGTTCCTGGGAGATGCATGACCATGTTTCTGGCTGCAGCTGCCGTAGACCTTAGCCTCACCTCCAGCCCAAGCAACAGCAGTCTGTCTTGTTTGGGGAGTCCACCTTCTCCAGGGGGCRCTTTTCAGAGGCAAGATCTAAAATACTCACAGCCAACTCCTTCCTATTCAGGTTCCTTAGAAAACCTCTTGTTTCCTTGGCTATTCCCAATACATCCTCTTTCTTTCCTCTCTCTCTCTCTTTCTCTCTCTCTCCTTGGACTAAATCTCTCTACAGCTTCTCTCATCTATCTTCATGCTGCCCAAACTCCAGAGAACACCAGTTCTCCCACCTCCACTTGACCTGACCTGAGCAAACAGCATTCCCTCCAAAGCAATTCTCTCTTCTTCAATCTCATAAGTTTTCAATAATTTCCAGGTCATGTGCTAAATTCTACAGAGAAGGATTAAAATCTAAAACACCGAATGCCTACTGTCATCCTTTAAAAACTTGGCCAAAATTGGGATAGTCGTGTTTTAGCAAGCTCTTCCAGATCGACAGAGATATAGATCTGTGTAGAACGGGGATGTCTAAGATGTATGGAGAAAAATCCTGAAGGATGCACCGTAGATTATCACGCACTCCTATCAGGAGTTCTCTTGTTGTCTATCTCTTCACTGGAATGAAAACTTCAAATGGTATGGAAGGAAGGAAGCGATGTCAAGGGTCAGGCAGGTGAGCCAAGCGAAACAGTAAAACAAGAGATAGCACCCCACGAAGCGGAAGTGAATGATCACTATTTATGGGAAAAAAAAAAAAAAAGCGAGTGCATTATCTATGAAACTAAAATGGCCTGGCACCGTGATTTAAGACGGACCTAAGGACTGAATTCAGCAGCAACGTTCTCAGGCCCCTGCCCTAATGGCCAGTGCATTCCTCTTCTGGTTTCTCCCAGATCACTGGAATAATGGTGAGCGGTGTCGCCCTTTACTGAGCTCAGAGTCGCGTTTCCTGACCTCCTAGGCTGGCCCAGGGATGTGTAAACCTCCTCCCAACGTGGGCAGCACCAGCCAGAGTGATGAGAGGGTCAGAGGCCTGGTTCCAGGCCAGCTCATCGGCCTCGGGGTCTGTTTGACCGCGCACGACGACTGGGAGGAGTTAAGGGCCCTGCGATTCCACTTTCCGCGTCTCTGCCACGACAAGCGGGACTGGCGAGCTCTGGGCCGCGGGCGCAGAACCGCTCCTGCGGCCGGGATTTCGCCCCTTGGCTCCTGCGCTCTGCGCGTCCGGAACTGGCCGTGTCCCGTCGGCCCCTGCGGGCCGCTCCCGGTCGTCATGGAAACGGAGGCAGCCAATCAGCGCGGCGGCTTGCAAGCTCGCTCTGCTGGGTTCCTACCGCGCGCTGGGGACTGCCGGGTGGACCGCGATGCTCAAGGCCAAGATCCTCTTCGTGGGGCCCTGTGAGGTGAGGCCAGCCGGGGCGGCGGCGAGGGGGGCCCGAGCGAGCGCAGGGCCGCCCCCGGGTCTGTGCCTTGCTCAGGCAGCCCCCCAGGAGGTGGCATCCCGGTCACAAAGCCCCCACCCCGACGGGCGCCTCACAGGAACTGGGCGCCTCCAGATCTTGATCCTCACCACCGCCCGAGGGCGGCGATGGAGGGGAACCCTGAGTTGCCGAGGCCCGAAGGCCCACGGTAGTGAGTGGCATCTTTGAAACCATAGTTTGGGTCTTGTGACCCTCCCACCAGGTCACATCTTTCAGGTTCAGCCCCAGGGTTTTGATTAAGTCCAGGAGGGACCAGGAATTTGGATTTTGGTGGTGCTGTTGGTCCAGGGCACACACAGGGATAAGCACTGTCGATGCATAGGTGATTATATGGAAAGAGATGTGTTCAATCTGCAGTTAGGAAAGGTCTTAAGCAAAGCCCCCCAAATGAAAAAGGCTTAAAAGAAATGATAGCTAAGTTAAAACCTGGGGTGAGTATTTAAAACTTACATTAATAGGACTTGCAAGGAAAGTTTAAAAATCAGTAAAGAAAAGAGAAATAGTTCAATAGGAAATCAAGCCAAAGTGCTGCACACAAATAAAATTGGGAAATAAAATTGCCAGGTAAGTATAAGAAGATGTTCAACCTCATAATCACAGTGACACATGAAAACAAACAGATGGGACTTGTTTACCCAGCCAAACTAATGGGGAAGTTTAAGATTGCTAATAGGTAGTGTTAGGATAGGTTAAAAAATACTTCACATGCCCAACAGGGCAGTTTCTTCATTTTTCTCATGAGAACCCATCCCTGCTCAAATTGGCTTTGGCCAACTTATATATATAAACTTTAAGGACATAGATGAAACATTCTCATATACTTCTCCCATGTTTAATGTATTCATATAGTCATGTGTATGTATGATATACCTGTAAAGGCCCATGAGGATATATATTAATTTGAAAATTTTATTTGATTCCATTCACTGGATGACACAGTTTTATTCAAGCTTCTAATCTGAGCCTTTGACATCTGGCTTATCTTCATGACTTGAGCCACTTGTTTTGCATAATTTAACATGATTGCCAATGCATATTATTTTTCTGTTCATCTAAGTTGTTTAGGACGCAGCATTTAAAAAAAAAAATCAATGTTATGAAACTCTTCCTGGAAATGTATTCAGGCCCCAGGACTCATTCCTATAACCTCAGACCATTTACTATATTTATTCATCCTAAAAATAAACATGATCTCCACAAGGAAGCCACTTACCCTGTTATTTTATCTGGTATTTAATTTGTGAGGCTGCATTCTAAAGACAGTGTGCCCTCCCCTCAACTCTCAGGTTTTTGATTCTACCAAGTGATTTCTCCAGGCCTTGCAAACTAGTTCTGATCCAGGTCATTCTAGCCAAGCAGTTGTTCGATATAAAGTAACTGAGAGCGGGGCATAATTGGAGAGGTTTTTAAATAAGAACTCAAGTGTAAGAGATTGCCTTTCTTCTGAAGAATAATTTGGGGGGAGAAAAAATCATTTTATATTTACGCATATGTAGTATTTGTTCAATGAATTATGCAAATATAGAGAAGATCTGAAAAACATAATTTTAAGGAGGGAATGGGTTGAACATAGGGATGGTTTAGGTAGAGGGATCAGAAGGCTGTTTTCTTTTTTTTTTTCCCTTGGATTATATGTCTTTTTTCCTGAAACAGCTTTTTTTTTTTTTTTTTTTTTTTTTTTTTTTAGTACTGGGGATTGAACTCAGAGGCACTCGACCACCGAGCTACATCCCTAGACCTTTTTTGTATTTTATTTAGTGACAGGGTCTCACTGAGTTGCTTAGCACCTCGCCCTTGCTGAGGCTGGCTTTGAACTCTCTCTCCTGTCGCAGCCTCAAGTCGCTGGGATTATAGGCATGTGCCACTGGGCCCAGCTAAGGCTGTTTTGTTGATGGGTTGATTTTATTTTTATAGGAATATCAATTACTTATGTTCTAAGGAAAAATAGCTTGCTTTGAGTTACAGATTTTTTAAAAATATTTTTATTAGTTGTAGATAAACACACAGTATCTTTATTTATTTTTATGTGGTGCTGAGGATTGAACCCAGGGCCTCTACACATGCAAGGCAGGCGCTCTACCACTGAGCTACAGCCCCAGCCTAAAACAGCTTGCTTTGAGATTGTGGTGCAATCAGCCAGGAATCCCCAGACCTGGGACTTAGCTTTGACCTTGATCTTCTTTGTGACCTTGAGCCTTGTGTCTGTAACAGACTGATTCCCTAAAAATGTGGAGAGGAGCAGGCGTGGAGAGAGACACACTGGTGATTTTTTTCTGTTGTCAGATAAGGTAACTGAGAGTCAGCCAGGAAACTCAAGTGAGGGTGGAGTCCCCAGCAGCAGAGGGAGCACTGGCCTCTGGTGCTCCCCATATTCCCAGCCAGGCCATGCCCAGCACACCAGAGCAAAACAGCAGAGGGCCCTCTATCCTGGTGACCTCAGGGCTGTTTCTACTCTTCTGTCATTTTCACAGAGTGGAAAAACCGTTTTGGCTAACTTTCTGACGGAATCTTCTGACATCACTGAATACAACCCCACACAGGGAGTAAGGTGAGCTCTACCCTATCTGCACCCCAAAAAGTCACCAACCGTCACCCATCTGTGACTTTGCGTGCTATTGGCCCTTCCAGAAGGGTAATGCCTCCTAAATAGTGGTGTTGTTGCTACTGTTTTTATGTTTAGGATCCTGGAATTTGAGAACCCACATGTTACCAGCAACAACAAAAGCACGAGGTGTGAGTTCGAGCTCTGGGACTGTGGCGGCGATTCTAAGTATGTTTCCTTTTTTTTTTTAATGTTTATTTTTTTAGGCGTAGATGGACACAACACAATGCCTTCACTTTTATGTGGTGCTGAGGATCGAACCTGGGTCCCACCCATGCTAGGCGAACGCTCTACCGCTGACACAATCCCAGCCCCAGTATGTTTCCTTTAAAGAAGGTCTACTTCGTCCAGGCTGGGACAGGTGGCAGAGGGCTTGCCTAGCATGCACGAGGCCCTGGGTTCCATCCCCAGCTAAAATACACACACACGGTGCCCACCAGGTTCCATGGAATCAGGCTTGCCTCGTTCCCAGGATGCATGAGGGGCTTGATGAGTTCTTTGGTCACATACATTGCTTTATATGCTTTAGCAATTGAGTTATGATATAATTAGAAGTCACTGATCAATTATTAATACTGAGCTATTTTTAAAGTGATCATGAGGGCTGGAGAGGTAGCTCAGTGATGAGAAATTTGCCTGGACTATGCAAGAACCTGGTTTCACAAAATAAAAAATTAAAACAAAGTGCCCAGCTAGAGTCCAGGATGCCCCGACTCCTGCTCCGACTCCCTTTCTCTGTTGCAGGTTCGAGTCCTGCTGGCCGGCCCTGATGAAGGACGCCCACGGAGTGGTGATTGTCTTCAACGCTGACATGCCGAGCCACCTGAAGGAGATCGAGATGTGGTACTCCTGCTTTGTCCACCAGCAGCTCCTACAGGACACCCAGTGCCTGCTGATTGCACATCACAAACCGGGCTCGGGAGGAGACACAGGGACCCCATCTTTGTGTAAGAAGGCTGGGGTTTCACCTCCGCCTTTTGCTGCAGATGTCCCACGCACCTGTGTGAGGCAGTGTCTTTGAAACCAGCAGCTATGTGCGCTTACTGCACWCTGGCCACGCCTAGGCCTTTGTCGATTTCACCATGTCCATCGGAACTGCCAGGATGGAAGGTCCATCCTTCCATCGAGGCAAGGGATGGGCACTTTCACAGCAGGTAGACGCAAAGATGGGGAGAAACCTGGTGTGGGCCATTTATTGGTCCCACTGGGGACAGTCTTTCTTGAGAGGCCTTTTCCCAAGAAAAACCTCCAACTCACCTGTGATGTACACAGCAGAGGTGACAAAGTGATCCCGGAAAACAACTCAGGAAGTATTCAGCACTTTTAGAAAGTTAAGCAAGTCTCATGTCCCTTGGGAGCTAGAAAAGATTCCAAGTCCACTCATTCATCTTATTCTCCTTTCTCAGCGCCACCCTTGAGCAAGCTGAAGCTGGTGCACTCCAATCTTGAGGAGGACCCTGAGGAGATCCGGATGGAATTCACAAAGTATTTAAAAAGCGTCGTCAACTCAGTGTCTGAGAGCAGAGACAGGGAGGAAATGTTGATTATTACCTAGCTGCCTCACCTGGGACCTCCATCTCCCAAATGACATCAGCTGCTTCCTCGTCCAGAACTCAAACTTTATCCAGCTACTGATGCTCTCTTCTCCTTGTGACTAGAGAAGAAATTTTCCTCGTCTGTTACAAGGTACCATTCAGCCAGAATTGACTCAGAACATCCATCCTCCATCCTTAGGTCAGTGGGGAAAATTCTATGTCTGAATTCTGCTTCTCTAGCCCCAGACCTTTCCAAAGAGCTGGAAAATTAAGCTGGGAAACTTCACATATGTAAAGTTATAAAAACTGTGGAATTGTAACTGTCATAGTTTCGTCCATGAGTCTCAGTTCAATTGTGATTTTTATTCCTTGATTCACTCAACAAATTCCAACTAGCTGAGCATCTACTATGTGTAAGGTGCTATTCTGGCTGCTGCTGAAGTACAGCATGATAGAGCACAAAATTCCTTGCCCTTGTGGAAGTTAAATTCGATTTTTCTAAACAGGTAGATCAAAAACATAAGTACTACATATTAGATAAGAAGGGAAAAAAAGGCAGACTCTTTATTTTCTGTAGTSGGTATTAATTTCACAGGCTCCCACCCCACAGCTAATGAGAGGACCTGGGTTACTTATGATATCAAACAGGGGTGTGGTTGTCTTTGATCGTGGGTTCTGTATTCAAGAGTTCCCCTGTTCATTAAAATTTATTTGCAACCCCTAAATCAAAACTTGTGATGCTCTCTCCATTGTTTGGGACACACATAATGTGGCCTAAAATTTGAATCGCTGCAGCACACGACTGTTCCCAGCTGAGGTTACTCCAGGGTTCAAGGGATGCTCCTGCTCTCTTCTCTTGGCTCTCGTAATGTGTCCTTTTCGTGGTCGATGTAGGGCCATGTTCTCACAATTTTCGAGCTTTTTGTTGGTGATTTCACTTTTGAAATGGCCCCAAGCTCAGTGCTAAAGTGTCATCTAGTGTTCCTAGATTCAGGAAAGCTGTGGCGTTTCTCAGGGAGAGAACACGTGGGTTAGACAGTCCCTTTAGCATGAGTTACAGTGCTGTTGAATTCAATGTTAATGAACCAACAATATGTTAAATAAAGTATCTTTAAAACACACATAAATCAGATTACATATCAATCAACTGCTGAAACTATTGCTGCAGAGGTTTGCAGGGACCTAATCCTGTGCTTCCCCTGAGAGCAGTGTTCAGGATTCACTGGATCAGCATGCTTGGCGACTTCGTAGAACAAACTACATGAATCACAAGAATCAACTGTCTCCACTCCTGCAATGTCAAGGCTCCTGTCATGCTTCTGGAAGCCAGAAGTCCAAAATCAGTATCACTGAGTCCAAATCAAGGTGCCACCGAGACCACACTCCCTCTYGATTCTTAGGGGAGATCTGTGTCTTGCAGCTTCTGGTGTCTGCTGTCATTCTTTGGTTTGTGGCTTCTTAGCTCTGGTTTCAAAGAGCACCTTCAAACCTCTCCACACTCCGCCTCCACTTTGCCTTCTCTGTGTGTCTTTCAAGCTGGCCTCATGAGGACATTTATCATTGCATTTAGGGGCCACCCACATGATCCAGGATAATCTCATCTCATGATCCCTGACCTAATCACATCTGCAAAGATCCTTTTTCCAAACAAAGAAACATTTCAAGGATTAGGACCTGATATTTCAGGGGTCATTATTCAGCCTCTTCTGAAAATGACAAATGATTAGTCTAAGATGACCCAGCAAGTCAGGGACAGAGGCAGGCCTGGATCCCAGGCCTCTGCTCTTTCCACTGACTTATAGTAACTGGGCAGTTCATCCCACCAGTGAATATGCTGAGAGTGTCATCCTCTGGGATTAAAACTCGTAAAGCAACATCAACCTCAGTGCTATAGTTTGGATCTAAAATATTCCCAAAGGGGAACATTCCTCATCTTGGTGCCATTGGAAGGTGGTGGGACCATATACAGGTAGTCCTAGTAGAGGTTTTAGGTCGCTGGAGTACACCCTGTAAGGGGATTATAGGACCCCAGTCTCTTTCTCTTTTTCATTTCTCTGCCTCCGAGAGGTGAACAGATTTGCTCCACCTCCCACTCCTTCCATGATATCTTACCTGGCCACAGGCCCAAAAGCAATGTGGCCAACTGACCATAGGCTTGATGATCTAACACCATGAATTGATGATCTCAGGTATTTTGTTACAGCAATGAGCAGCTGATTAACACATACTGCAATAACAGAAGGATGGTTACGGGAGATAATAACCATATTTGAACTGGAGCCCAGCCTGATGGTGGTTTTCAAGTATCTTGCAGGTAGAACTAGCACATGTCCTCCGACCAATCCAATGACCAGTTTGTGTTCTGAAGCTTTAGCCATTGTAAAGATTATGCTTACATTGTAACCCGAATATCCACATCATAAAGTTGTTCAAGCAAAGTCCTTGGAGATCATTAAACTCTGTGTGGGACACTGGGAGACTCTGATATCTGCAAGGTACACTAAATTGCCTTAAGAATAGTTTTGCTGCTAACTGAGGCTAGGAGTTAATTTAAACATCAGTACTCCTGATTAAAAAGGTAACTGGGTACTGTGCCATTTGAGAAAATTACTCTGGAATATGGTTGTAGGTCTTGACTTTGGCCTTCCACACCTAATTGTTGAGAATTACATGAATATCCTGGCCTTGGTTGGTGCTTTATCATGAGATGTGCTCTTTCCTTAGGCAAGAAATGAATGATTCCATGCTTTAAAAATATGATTAAGGAGGAGGGAGGAAACTCTGTTTTGAATGTTAGGAATAAATTACATAGCTTTGACATGACTTCTAAATGTTATCATTTAAATAATTCTCTACACTTATGATATGGACTGTTCTTCCTACCAAAGTTTTAAGCCAGTGGGAATGTCATGTCTGCCAACTGTCCTACTTCAAAAGGAAAGTCCTGGATGCTTTGAAGCAAGCAGCACCTCATTTATCTTTCTGCCCTCTACTTGTTCATTAGATAAGCTATAAGAATATGCCTCTGGTCTCTAAATCCTCAATGCAGATTTACTCTTTGGCTCAGACCTAATTGTAGATCATTGAAGGTGTTGTGTGAATTAAAAGTAACAAGTATAGTCTCAGTGCAGTTTTGTGATAAGTATTTTATTCATAAAGAACAACCCTTTTTCTTCTGTGTGACTTCAAAAGCCCAGGAGACACCTATATCATGTTATGATGTTTTCTGTTCAGAGGAATTAAATGTTAATCATGCTAATTTTATCATAGAAAATTAGGAACTTGGTTTCTACACATACAAACCTATTTCAAGTGCTTCTCAAGATTATAACTTGCAAATCCAACTGCATTTGGAATTTATCACTCTTTTGGGTGCAGCTGTTGAAAACAAAAACAAAAACAATGGCAATGGCTTTAAGCTATCAGTAGTAAATGAGATGTAGGGCCATCGGAATACTCCTGCATAAGGGGGTCAGAGGGAGGCAGGAAGTCAGGTCAAATATACTCGACAGTGAGTGATTAAGAGGGCTGGTGGTGGGTTGCATCCCCTATCMTGGGAGTTTCTGGCTTGTCGCAGGTGGTGGCCCATAATCAATGACTACACCTCCCATAGTTGTTGGGACAGGGTCGCTTGACCTTCCACTAAGACTGTGCGCATCCCTCCCCCGAGCGTCTGCGGAAGCAAAACGCGAACGGTAGGGGGCGCTGCCAGACGTCCCGTTCCATCCTCTAGCCTGCTCGTCTCTTCCGGGGGCTTCAGGGGCTCCAAAGACCCGGCGCTGGTTTCCGTGGCAACCACACGCGACCGGAGTGGCGTGCGCCTGGAGCATTCTGGGAGATGTAGTTCGGCCACCGCACGAGCCCAGTCTCCTAGGGCAGCAGAACGGCCGCTTGGCGAGGGGCGGGGACAGCCCGTTTTGAAACCCCGGGGTTGAGGAAGGGTCTGTGCCCGGCGACCAGCAGGCCACCAACGACCACAGAGCCGACGAGCCCCGCCCGTCTCCGTGGTAACCGGCTCGCCGCCGGGGACTCTGGGAGTTGTAGTTGCGCGGGGGCCGGGCGCGCGCCCGGAGGACGAGCGGCTGCCGTTAGCGTTCGCCACTGGCCATTGCGCGCTGGCGGCCAGCCCTCGGACGGTGAGGCCCTTCTGGCCTCCTGCGCTGCCTCGGCCTGTAACCCGGAATGGTTGCGCGGGAGGTCGGGTCAGGGGCGGAGGCCGCTGGGTAAGGGCAGGCGTCGGCATCGCTCAGCTCCGGCCCGCCCAGGCTCACCAGCTGAGAAGCCCCGAATGGGGCTCCTGGTCACCCGAGGGGCTCCCCCGAGGCGGTGAGTGGCGCCTCCACGTACCCTCACCCCTTGCCCGTCATTACGGAAGGGGACGTCTGAGAGAGCCAGGGATCTGCCCCAGCCGGAGACCAGGCCGCGGCTGTGCGCTCGCACCTTTGGCTGCAGCCTGAGCGCAACACGTGGCGCAGAACAGGCGCTCAAACTTTTGTCGAGTGTCACTCCATTCTAAGGACACGCAACTGAAGTATTTCAACAAATAAATACAAAATTTAAAAAGAGAGAGAGAGAGAGAGAGAGAGAGAGAGGCTTTTCAGCCACATGCAACATGTGGACTTTATTAGGATCGCGATTCTAACAGCCAAGATTGTTTTAAATCAGGGACGTGCACATTGTTGATGATATTTAGGAATTATTTCTTCAATTGTTTAGTCGTAATACTTTGGGAGTTATGCTTTAAAAATAAAAGAAAATGCCTGAGAGGCACATATTTGCAGATCTTATGAATGAAATGATGTCATGTTGGCTTCAAAATGCTTCAAAAATGGGGGAAGGGGAGAGAATAAAGGAAAGAGACTTGTCTAGGTATTGGTCATTGTTGAAGCTAACCATGATACACCAAGATCACTAAACTTTCTCTCTCTGGGCTGGCTATGCATGCCTGTAACCCCAGCTGCTCAGGAGGCTGAGGCAGGAGGATCCTAAGTTTGAGGCCAGCCTCAGCAACTTAGACCTGTCTCAAAATAAGAAATAAAAAAGGCTGGGGGATGCAACTCAGTGGTAGAGCACCCTGAGTTCAGTACCACAAAAAATAAAACTGTTCTCTCTTCTTTCATTACATCAAAATGCTTTTTAATATAAAGTATCATTTTAATCCTTATCTGCCAGTGCTCCATATGAGTTATTCATTGGGAAGAATAAGGTCTGATGTCTGGAATTTCCTTTAAAACACTCCAGGCACACAGGAGTGTCTGTCATGGAGGAAATAAAGATGGCAGAAAATGAATTGCTGTTGAAACCAGGTGGCGGGCAAATGAGAGTTCCCAGCTTCGGTGAGATGGAAGAATTTCCATAACCAACGGATTTTTTTTTTTTAATTTTAAAAAACAATGTATTCTATGTGTTTCAGGAAGTCTCTGGAAAACAAAGGAATTCAAGAGGAGCTTCTCTAAAACTTGACCCTGCCATGGCACAAGTGAGCCTCCTTGGGGACTTTTCTTTCAAAAGTGGTCACAGCAATGGGAGTACTGCACGTGTCCTTGGTCTCTCAGGTTCCTCAAAAGTAGGATAGAGTTTTGATGGTGGAGGAAAAAATACCATGGGACTGGAGTCAGGGTGGGGGGCAGGCAGCCACAGAATAATTCTTGCAGAGGAGAGCTGGCACCAACAGCTGTAGACAGTTTGTAATGGCCCAAGAAGGTGTGCTCTGCCCGAATGGCTGAGGTAGGAGGGCATAAAAGGAGCCCATCATGGAGCTGTGGCCCATCTGGCCCCAGGAGCCCCAGGCCCAGGGCAAGGAGCAAACCTGGGCAATAAAAGAGGTGGACTCATGCTGGAAGGAGGTACAGAGCACAGTGAGCAGGACAAGCAGAAGAGCAAAATAATTTGTGAAAAGAGGGTTAGGCCTCTAAAAAAAACTAACACCAAATCTATTGTTTGGTTGTTTTTGTTTTGGTACTAGGGATTGAACCCAGGGGCACTTAACCACTGAGCATACCCCCAGCCCTTTTTAATATTTTATTTAAAGGCAGGGTCTCATTGAGTTGCTTGGGGCCTCTCTAAGCTGCTGAGGCTGGTTTTGAACTCATGGTCCTACCTCAGCCTACCAAGTCTCTGGGATAACAAGAGTGTGCCACCACATATTGCCCCAAATCTGTTTTGATCCAACACCTTTTCTCTGTTCTTAGCTCTTCTCTTTTACTTTGGGGGCATAAATTTGACTTTGGTAATTTCCCAGCGCCATCCCCACCCCATGTCATTTTTATCTGGGTATGCTTCTTTTTTAAAAATAATTTTTCTAGTTGTAGATGGACACAACAATATCTTTATTTTTACTTGTGCATTTTTTTGTTATGTGATGCTGGGGATTGAACCCAGGGTCTCATGCATGTGAGGCAAGCACTACCACTGAGCTCCAGCTCCAGCCCCTGGGTATGCTTCTTTTACATTATTTAAACCATTCAATTTTTTAAATTCTCTACAGAAACAAAAATACATATTCTCCTTTCCCAATACAGAATCAAGTTCAGGTTTTCTGTTTCTTGACAGGCTCTCGCCACAGCTCCTCATCTATGAGGGCTTCAGTACACCCTCTGTATTCCTTGAGACTAGCCCTAAGGCCCTGAGGTCTGTTATCCTTCCATTTCCACTGTGTTCTTACCAAACTTGTTATCCACGGGGACACAGATCCAAAGTTTACAAAAATTCTCAGCTTCAGCAGACATCTTATCCTTAATCTCCTAAGGAATCCTGAGCTAAAACCACCCAGCTCYGCCACTCCCAGGTTCCCAATGCTCAGAAACTGTGTGTGATAATAAGTGTTGGTTGCTCTAAGCTGTTATGTCTAGGACAGTCAGTTACACAATAGAAAACTCAATATGAGTGGTCTAACAGAATTTGGATGCTTGTTTCCAGCCTTAGAAGCCCTCTTGGGAAGGTCATTTGCATTCAGTTTCTAGACTGTTTTGATATCTTTTGGGAACAACTAGATAGAATATTTGATATTAGAGCATTTATGGGAAAATCCAGGAATTATAGTCATCGTATCAGTATAGCCAAATTCAATTTTCTTTAAAATAAAGCTACTTTGTTTATACAACTATGACTTTTATCAAAAGTTTAATCAAATTTAATTTAAATACAAAATAGGATCATGAAGGACAGTCCTTTTGTACTCTTGGAGGAATGCTGGGGTCAACCCAGGGCCTCATACTATTAAGCACCTGCTCTACACTTGAGAGTGTCGCTCCCAGCCCATTCTTTGTGTGTTTTTATAAGGAAGTAACATTAATTATTTTTTGCAATGAATAGATATTGCTTTCAAACCAGATAGTAGTTTTTAAAGAAACACACTGGGGGAGAGGGATCTAAACAGAAATTTTCTTAAAAGAAAAACAAAAAACAACTCACTTTTTTTTCCTTCAGCTCTCCAGTTTTCTTCACTGTCTCCAGAACAGGAGTTTTTCTGGGACAGATGGCACAAGAGCACCAGAATCCTCCGCCAGGGCAGACATTGTTCAGATGTGGATCTTGGGAGCCTCACCCCCTTGGAGCTCACGGTAAGGGACAAAATCCTCCAGGGGTCTTTGTCCCTTTTCTGGGACCTCCTGTGTAGAAAAGCAGGCCAGAACATTCCAGCTTGCAGACCTGTGCTGGAGCTGAGCATGGTCATCAACTAGCACCAGACCTTAGGTCCAGAACCAGAGAGGCGCTGAGGTCTCTGGGAGACTGCCAGCCCTCTCCTCAGTTACCCACAAGCACCAGTGTCCTCTGTTCCCTGAAAGGTTACAGTGAGGACAACATTGAGCTCCTCTGAATTGTCTTCTGGTAGCTTCTTAGTCAAGCCACACTCCGTGGTGGGGACTATCAGGACTTCCGCTGATAATACCGTCTCCCCTTCTCGCCTCCACAAAGTCTGTACTCAAGGCTTGAAGGGAACCCTGGGGAATATCTCGCCTCTTTTGGGGGAATATGGAGGGGGTCCTGCTGCAGGGAGAGGGAGGGGTCGAGAATGAAGAGAAGAGACCTGAACAGGGAGAGGCAGGGCGAGCTCTGTCTCCTCGTCCATGGAGGTTGCCCGACAGCTGGTCTCTGCTGCTGCCAGTGCTCGGCACTTGGTGCTCCCTTCCTGAACAGACTCTGAACACTCAGGGCAAAGACTGGTGAAAACCCTGGGCTTCCTGTTCCGGGTCAGCAGCCCCCACTGCTCTCAGCCTGAGCATCAGGAACCATGAGTCAACATGAGCCAGATTTGGATGTGTCCATGGAGCCTACACCAGGGGGCTTGAAGTTCTTTCACTTTGGGGTGTGGTTTGACCATAGAGATAATTGACACATTGTACAAGTTCTAGTCTTCTGTCATTATTAGGGCCCATGTGACACAGAGGTAGGGGAATAGAGTGCATGAGTGGGTTGATAAGCTGTTGGGACACCTCTGGGCGGGCTCGCCCTAGCGAGCACCCTGCAGCCACCCTGGCTAACCTGCCTCACCCTCAGGACAGATCTGATGGTGATCACCTGATCCCTCTGCTCCAGTGCTGGGACCAGCATCTGTTGTCATTGGTGATGTCCGGGCCCTCCTGGTTGTCATCAGTGATGTCTGGGCTTTTCTGGTTATCAAGGGACTTTGGCCCCCTTGGCTCTAGCCCTGCTGACCTTTACCACCCAGCAAAGTATAGCCACATGGGCACCGGCACCGGCTGGCAGCAGGCCCTGGCCCCATGGGTACTAGCTGGGCAGTCTGGCAACTTCTTGCACTTCTCTGAGCCTCAGTTTCTGTGTGAGGATGCACTCTGCAAACTGCAGGGCACACACAGGAAAGGCAGCTTCCATCACTCCGTCTCGTCCTGAGTTCCTTGTGCATCGCAGGACCTGGCCTTGAGCCCAGCTGTCTTCCCCTCCCTGCCTTGCTCCTTCTGTGACCTCCCTCAGTTCCCCAGCCCACCCTGGGCTACAGCTCCTGCCTTCCTACTGCTCTGGAGGTGCCCAGGACTCTTGGAGGTCTCAACCAGCCCCCCTTCGCAGCCTCCTCAGACCTGCCAGCCACACCCTCAGCCCGCTCCTGTGGCCACAGAGCTCAGTTACTCCTCCCGGACCTTGCCCCTCCCTGCCTGCCCCCACTCCATCCCCTGCTTCTTCCTCATCCTCTCCCCAGACTTGCGAAACGAAAAAATGAGATTTGTGTTTTTTCCTTGTATATAGAAGATACAGATAAGAAAATGAAAATGTGATTCATAAAGAAAATGAAAGTGACTCCTAATCTCACATGTGACATTTACAGCCTGCCGAATGTGGTCACTAAGGACTTGACTGCAGCCTCCGCGCACACCCCAGTACTAGGAATTGAACCAGGGCACTGAGCTACAAGTACCCCAGCCCTTTTCATTTTTATTACTGGCAGGATCTTGCCAACTTGGATCCTCCTGCCTCAGCCTCCTGAGTAGGCTGGGATTACACACCTGTGCCCCTGCACCTGGGGATATTCTTAGCTCTCAATGTACTCTAGGCTATAATGAGTTTAATCCATCTATAGTACACGTGGCTTTTATGGTCTTTTATTGCACATGAAACAGGTGTATTTGAATTTCCTTTGGGGTAAGGTGGCTCACACCTGTATTCCAGATACTCAGGACACTAAGGTGGGAGGATCACTTGAGATCGAGTTCAAGACCTGCCTGGGCAATGTAGCAAGATCCCATCTCAAAAAAATAAAGTTCGACTGAATTTTCTGTTTTCAGGACTGAGAACAAGGAGTTCCCCTCCCATCAGGGACTTTCTGAAAGATGATCCCCATGAGGGACCTCACGCAGACCCTGTGGGCACTAGGAAATGCCTCAGAATGTTCCAGAACCTTCAGCTGGCATTGGGGACTCTCCCAGAGGTGAAGCCAAGCAGTTCTCCTCCCCAAGACAAGACCTTCCAGCAGAAGAGAGAAGGCAGATGCTGTGACAGGGACAAGAGGTAGCCTGCAGCCAGGTGAGCATCCTCATTCCAGGTCAGGAGCGTGGCACGGGCAGAGAGCGTTGCTTTCACACAAGGAGCCAGGGTCTGAGCAGACTGCCGTTATCAGAGTGCTGCAGGGGAGAGAAGCCCCTCAGGTGTAAGCTTGTGGCCCTGACAGGTAGCTGGCTGTCACCGGACAGGGGAGATTTAGCACCTYCCAGGGGCATCCCCCTTGCCCAGGGAGAGAAGCCAGCAAGCCTGTGGTGGGGGAAAGGCATTCACTAGGCCCATATGTGACACCCCAAGCAGTTACCTGGAGGGTGGGAAACATGCAAAAGTTTCATATAAGCCCCCCAGAACACCCCATTTGGAACTGTAGGGAAATTCCAAGCTCACCATAGTCTCAACTCTCAGCTGCAGCCATTTAGGCAAGCATTTTAGATGTCCAGAGACATACCAGGCACAGTGGTGCATGTCAGGAATCCCTGCAGCTTGGGAGGCTGAGGCAGGAGGATCCTGAGTTCAAAGCCAGCCTCAGCAACAGTGAGGTGCTAAGCAACTCAATGACCCCCTGTCTCTAAATAAAATACAAAATAGGGCTGGGGATGTGGCTCAGTGGTCAAGTGCCCCTAAGATCAATCTCCAGTACCAAAAAAAAAAAAAAAAAATCCAGAGACATGGTAAAGAGACACCATAAGCCAGTGCTTTGGCAAGAAGGCTGTGAGCCTTGCCCCCAGGCTCAGTGGTGCAGAAGCACAGTGTGAACCTCAAGCCTCTTCCCTGGGGCTGGGCTGCTGAGGTAGCTTCAAAAAACTGTCCACCTCCATCTGCCCAGCTGTGTCCCAGGTGCAGTGAGCATGTGCAGTCCATGCCCTGGTATCGCTCCCGCACCTTGGACTGCACCTGGCCCAGCGCCACAGCAGGCCCACCCTGAGGGAAGAGGTTGACCCCAGCCAGCCTGCGCTTCCCTAGCAGGGGAGTCACAACCAGGACACCCTCTTAGTGGCTGAGCTGAGAGTGTCACCTAATGAGTTACTGAAAGGGACTGATGTGGGTTAGAGAAGTCCAGCCCCAGTTTCAAGGGGCAGCAGGTGTAATGGGAGGTCACCCATGTGATCTCCACTTGATCCCAGCTTACAGGTGAAGTTGGCAGGTATGCTTCCCTCCGCCCAGTTCTCAGGTGGAGCCCAATCTGTGCCTGTGCGGCATCTTCACAGCACATTTTATAGCTTATTTGTTCTCCCTGGAAACTCAGGAAAGGACATCCCGGAACCTCAGAGAGGTTCAGAAACTTTTCCAGGACTGCACGTCAGAGGTCGTCCCCTTCCCTCCCTCAGCAGGACAGGTGGGGTGTGTGTGAGCTGGAGGGGCACAAGGGACATGACAGAGAGGCACAGTGGGCAGTGTTCCTCTGGAAACCCAGTCCCCAACCCCAGGCCCTGAATGTGCATTCTGTGATGAGCAGGTTTGGCAAGGAGCCGGGTGCTTCCCGGGCTCCTTCGATCCATCTTGAGCTGCTTTTCTCTCACTTCTGCTCTTCATTTTTCCTACTGTCAATAAAATCATGCTCAAAACAGCGTGATTTTAAAATGCATAGGTAAGTGAAGATTTAGTCCCATTTTGGAAAGAATCACTGCTAGCACTTTAAGTATCTTTCAAACACTTTTTCTGAGTGTTTATACCTATGTAAGTGTGTATGTGTGTGTGTGCGCGCGTGCAAGTGTGCGCGCGCTTGCGCATGTGTGTATCTATTTTGCCCATTAGTTATATTTCTCTAAAAGAGGAAGGTAGGGAATGTTCTAGGTCCACAAGCCCCTGCAGCCTGGCAGGACCTCACTGGGCTTGCAGCCTGTGAGCTAGAGGAGGTCCCTTTCTCTGCCAGGGAGCCTCCACCACCCTTGGGCTCTTGAGGGCAGTGCCTCTCCTGGCCACAAGGGGGGGATGTTTGTCCGTGATCGTGGACCAGAGACACTGATACCAACCCTTCGTCCCCAGATGGGTCTTGGCTGGTTACAGGATCTAGCAACGCTGTATCAGGGTCACCCAGTCACTCCTGACTTTATTCTGCTCACTGCACCTGTTGGAAATCTTGCTTCATGAGGAAAAGAATTCATAGACTCACTCTTAGAACTTGACACCATACAGGTCTCCCCTCATCTTACAGCCTTGGGCTTCAAGGAAGAGAAATGATGAAGCTGCTCAGGCCATGCCATGTACCTCAGCACCCCCACCACCTTGCCCTGGCTCCCCGCTCTCTCCTTCCCCTCCCACCTTGGCCTTCTTCCAGCTGCTGTCACTCTGCCCTGTCAGCAGCGGACCCTCCCACAGGCTTCTCCCTGGCGGGCTTTCGCCAGCACTTCACCAGAAGTCATTCTCAGCCCCGCAAGTCAGAGTTCTCTTCCACGATTCCGCGATGCCCAGGCTTCCTCTTTCAAAATGCAGGACATACTTCATTGTCTGCCTCCTTCTGGAGGGGAAGTTCCGTGAGGGTAGAGACCCTGATGGTCTGGTTTCCCTCCCGTATCTGTCTCCTCAGCACAGCACCTGGTGCTCCAGGGACTGGGGGATGGCTGGGAGAGCCTTTTGTTCCCGAGGCAGAGTCTGCAAAAGCTAGCCTGTTTCTCTCCTTCCTCCCCCTGTCCTCGAGGCCCACCAGTGCCCCTCACTGTCCCCTAAGATATGGGAAATAGATCCCCAGAGACAGTGTTGCAGAAGGACCAGTCTCTCCCTTACAGTGATGAAAAGACAGAGGGATTTCGCCTAGGACAGATCTAACTGCCACTTACCAGCTGTGCCTAACTTATTTCTTATATTTGCAAAGTAACGAGACAGTGGCACTCATTCTGCAGGGTCCAGTGACAAATCACATGCAGCCTGACACAGGAGACAGCCGTGGAGTCACAGTTGTCCCTCCCTCCCAGCGCTGCCCCTGCCTAAGCCCCCTTCTGGATCCTTGTAACACAGACACCCCTGTCATCTCAGGGCTGCTCTTTGTTTCCCGACCTCCCTCTTTTTCCCCTAGGTGGCCCAGGTCACCTGCCACTCATGCCTCCTTCTTCCCTGTCTTGGATCTCAGACAAGTAACGGGACCAGGCCCTGGGAAGAGCAAATTCTCTAAAGGTGGCTGTCTGGTGATGAGTGGGCCAGCGAGAGCAGCAGCCGGGGGAGTGGGCCAGCAGTCACCACCCGGGGATGGGAGGTGGCCTCCCCTGTTACAAGCCAAGCAGAGCATACTCGAAGGTGCGGGCACCAGGACCTCTCGTAAGGCTGAGACTTGGGCTTTGCTGAGAAGCAAGGGAGGARGGAGATGGCGGGCCGCGCCCAGCTCTGTCTCTGCCCAGTGCAGCCTGGGCTCCCCTGCGAGTGGCCCCTGAGGAGCCTGCGTGTAGACCACGCCATCCGCTGGGCTGTCAGAGGTGTCTGCCGTCCTTCAGCCAAAGTCCATTTGCTGCTAGAAACCCAGGTGCCAACCGGACCATGCTCCAACCCCGCCCCTCCCGCGGTGCCCTCTCTTGTGGACACTTGAGGTCACAGGTGCTCTGAGGCCCCCTCGCTATTGTCCTCAGGCCCCTCCTTGGCCTCCCTGTCTGGAGGTGGGAGCTTCGTCATCCATGACGAGTATCCGCCCTCTCTCCTGCGGAATCTTCCACAGATGAATAAGAGCTGATTTCCCTCGCGGTCCCCACCCGATTCATCCATTCAGAAGCTCCGGCTTCCAGTGTTGGTCCACGCCTGGGCGCTCTGGGAGCGTCGAGCCCTTCATCGGGACGTGTGTGTTATCCCGTGTGACTCCCCGGAGCGGAGCTCTGACGTAGGTTCCCGCTTATTCTGTGCCGGATGTGCCCGTGCTGGCCTCGGAGCTTCCCCGTTGGTGCTATTCATAGGGAGCCTCTCGTCTGAATTGGGGATGAATGGAAATTTTCTCTTATTCATAATATTCAAAGATCTCCTCGCTCTGTGGATTCTTTGCTTTCCTGCCAGTGCTGGCCATATGCTGGGCCACGTGCTTGCCAGCAAATCAGGGTTGGGCTCAGCGTCTGCAGTTCCTGGAACTGTGTCTTCCCTATCGTAAAGTTCCTCCAAATCCCAGCCCCTGTCCTCTCACATGGCCCCAGGATTCTTCTTGGCAGGAGACAGTGTGTTGACAGTGTGTGCCCAGCTGAGCCTCCTGCCGTGATGGCACCCTGGGAAGCGAGGGTCCCAAGCTCCGGCTTCTGAGACAGATCTCCACCAGTGTGCATGCACCCTCAAGCCTCTGACTGCAGTAGCCAGAGGGGAGAGGGCAGGGGAGCAGCCTGGCAGGAACAGCAGTGCCCCTGGAATGCTGCCCCCCCCACTCCCTTTCTCTGCCCTCCCCAAATGGCACAGCTCCCCTGGAGCCTCCCTGGAATGCTGGAACCTGGAGTTCCACTTCCCCACCTTCCTGTGGAGTCACTGCCCATAAAGGCTGGATAGCACTCAGGCCGGGCTCGCCCTCCATGGTCTATTTATGCCTTTTTTTTTTTTCCTTAAACAGACTTAAAACTCTTTGAAGAAGAGCCACATTGTGTCCCTTGGATCCTCCCCAGCAACTTCAAGCATTGACACCTCAGAATCGTGGCGGGGCTTGGAAGCTGCATGGGGCTATGGTGCCGCCCTCTGAGCAGAGGGTCCAGGACGTGCCTTTGGCTGAAGACGCGGCTTCCTCCTTGGGGATGGCTGAAATTCTCTTCTGGTCACACGGGGCAAAAGGTGACCTTGTATTTACTGCCGTCCTTTCCAGCCCACACCACAAGGCAGGCTAGCCAAGGTAACCCCAGAGACCATCAGGTGGCTGGCCATCTGTCTCCATTGTCTCAGCTGTGCCCGAGAGATGTAACTGTTTGCCATATGTTGTGCTGGACCTGGGAGGGACCTGGGAAAGGACAGGCAGGGAACAGCCAGAATTCATTCGGTGGGAAAGCCACCCATCCCAGTGCCCTGGTTAAGTATGAATGGCTCAGGACCTTCCTCCACGTGAACTTGGAGCTCCTTGTGGGCAGAGCTGTGTCTTGGGCCTGTCCCTGCTTCACGGTGCCTGGTTCAGCAAATAGGTCTCTGTTTGCAGAGTGTCTGCCTTGGAGTAATCACTCTTTAGCTCCTGACACCTGACAGCCAGGGCTCATGGAGTAACAAGGAGAGCAGAGGTAGAATGACTGTGCTCTCATCCCACCTGGGTCCTCTCCACCTCCTGTGAGTACATCATCCCGTTGGTATGTGGCTAAATTCTAGGTCCCATGCACAAAGTACAGGAAAGTCCCTTTATCTTTTATTAATTGCAAATTTTCTCTCCCCCTTGAAAAATGGGACAAACTGCTTAAGTCTGTGTTTTTGTGTAGCCTAGGAGTTCTCCACTAACTTTCTTTAAAGCAAGTTAAAACTGTAGGGACAGTAAAAAAATCATCCTTAGTGGTGGCAACTGCATTTTCTAGAAACACATTTTCTACCCAGGTGACCTTTGGCTTGGTGAGCCTATCCTGGGCCATGGAGCTTTAAGGAGAGAAGAGGAGAGCGTGCCTAGCTAGCTGCCCCTCCTGGGCCCACCAGGGGCCACCTGCTCACCCACTGGCCTCTGGGCCAGAGGGGACAACCAGGCACCAGCTCTACATTCTCTAGCCTGAAAGTTTATAGATGGTGTGTCATTTATAGTGAGTCTCCAGAATATTCTCTCAAATTTCTCTTGTAATAACTGTTCCAGGCAGTTTATGAAATTATGAAGACAAGAGATTGAAGTGGATAATCAGAGGAGCAAAGGCTGGGGGGGAAGGGGGGATCCTAAACCAGGGCCCCCTGAAGGAGGCAAAGGCCGCTCACAGAGGGCGCAAGGCTTCTGGGAAGTTGCTAGAGAAGTTGAGTCTAGATGGAGAGCAGTGAAGAGGCCCCACCCATCCCCATCGCGAGGACCGTAGCTGCCAAGCCAGCCTAGTGATGTCTCCTCGCAGGCCTGCTCTGCCGAGAATGCCGTGAGCAGAATCCCGTTTAATCTTCTCAACAACACTTTGTAGTAGGTATTTTTATTTCTAATTTTATGCTACAAATGAAGGAAATAAGATGTGGAGAGGTTGAATCACTTGCTCAAGGTCATGCAACTACTAACTAGAGCTAGAGCCCAATTCCTGCCCGTGCTGTTAAAAGTTGGGGTTTCCCCATTGTAGGATTTTTAATTCCGTTTGCTGGAATGCCAGCCCATTTTCGGTCCTTGGCCATCTTGGAATAGTCTTGTTTCCACAATCTCTTCTTCAGCCTGTCAAAGCCACAGAAAGGTCTTCAGGAGACCAGGCCCAGGAGATGGTAAGCGCTTCAGTCCCTATGAAAGCTGTGTTCATGGGAGACCGCACGCGCCTCCCTGGCAGCCACAGGACCTCTGCCGAGGGTGCCGGTAGAGGGGGAGTCTCAGGTCACGGCAGACTAAACCCTGTGGTTATGTGCTTGTGCTGGGGTCAGGCATTACAGTTTATTTGTGCTTAGCTATGTCTGGGCCTCCACTGGAGTGACCACTCTGGAGATGGCTGGGATGGTCCAGCTGGGGCTCTGCCTGGGGCCCGGCTTCTGTCTGCCAGGTGGATTCCTCCATCCCTCCCCTGGTAGCATCCACGGGGCCAAAACATCCAAAGTGGCTTTTCACTCACATTCCTGGAACCTCCCCCATCTTCCATGTGGCCTTTCTCCAGGAGAGTGGCCTGATCTTGTGCTGTTGTCCAGGCTCTCAGAACCAYGGCCTCTGCTCCTGTCCACTGCAGGCCCCACCTGTCCTCCTCCACCCCCTCCCCTGTTGTCCAGGTGACTGTCGCATCATGAGACCCTGCCTCGGTGTGTACGTACAATTCACTGGGCCAGGATCCAACAGGAGCTGGCCGATGACTTTTGAAGTCATCTGACCCCACAATGGAAGTGAAGCAGCCAGACTAGTCAGGCTCCTCCTTTTGTAAATTTGAGCCAGAAATCAAAAAAGGTAGTATGTGACCAGGTGTCATGAGGGCAAGCAGGGCCTGGATGGACCAGTATTAGTCACAGTGACACTGGAGGAGAAAGAGTGAAGGAAATAAAGCAAGCCGTGACGTGGAGAAGGTCATGGAGGGAAAGCAAGCCTTGTCTGGAGCAAGCGCATACAGGACAGAAGGCTGAGGCAGAGCCGCCAGCCCCGGAGCTGCCCTGTTGCCGTGGCTCCCTGGGCCCAACCTCTCCCAAGTGATACCACAGCAGCCGCACTGGCTGTTACCTTTGCTCGCAGTTGGCTTAGAAGTGGGCCTGCTACTTCATTCTGCTAATAACTTAAGGGAAGTGACAGGGACTGCCCAAGCCCCTGAGGCAGCAAGCACAAGGGGGAGGCCAGAATGCAGAGGTAACAGCAGACAGGCAAAAGGAGCCTGGGTCCTTGATGACATGGTTRAGCCACTATACCTATCCTGGAACTACCTACTTCCAGTATTGTTGCTGTGTAAGTTAAAAGTCTTATTTTCTAAGCAGATTTCTGCTACTTGCAGCCTGAAGCATTCCTATCCCCGTAGCCACCCCTTAGAGCACATGGCTCTTTCTGGAGCTTCAAGTGGAGACTCGCCCTGAGTGTTAACATGAGAAGTCCTGTTCATACAACAGGAAATAAAAGTCAGGATTTGTCACAGCTCACACAGCTGTTAGTCCCAACTGCCAGGGCCTATAGGATACAGACAAGGAAAGAAAAATATTCAGGACATTTCCACATGTGTGGGCATGAGTCTTCTAAACTGGGGCTCAATAACGAATTTGAGGAAGATCAAGTTCAGTGGGGGGTTTAATGCCTAAGATCCAAAGCCCAAGCAAGGTTCAGGAAGCCATGGGAGGAGCAGGAAGTTGAGCTGAACAAATGGTAGGTAGGTTGGACAAATTCTGGGAAGGATGCCCAGGACTCCAGGTGGATGGTAGGAGCTCGGGGGACCAGCCGGAAAGAAGCCTAAGCACCTGGAACTAACCGTGGCCCTGACCCGCCCACCTGCCGACCTTCCTCCTTCTCAAGGAGTAAGATTTCCCCCTCGGCCCTGGGTTGCCACCCTGGCAAGCCCCATTTCCTTATTCCTCATCTCTTCTCCCTCCATCTTCCCCTTTTTTCCTCCACTTTTGTCCTCTCTGTGCAAAGTCAGGCCTCAGAAATGCACAAGACCTGAGTCATTCTAACGCAATTGGGGGATTAAAATGGAGGCGAGGGTATTTTGCTCGTCTAGAATGCTCATCTGGGAAGAGGAGTTAGATTGGCGGGAGGGGAAGCAATTGCTAAATGAGGACTGGAGAAAGCTTCCTTCCGGTGCAACTCTCTTGTTCTTTTGTGTGTTTTTAACATAAGAAATGTACCCATTCTTCCCTTAAAAAATGGGAAGCTGAACTCAAGAGCCCTAGCCCTTCTTTTTTGAAACTCTTTTTAAAAATATAAAACGAAGATTAGACTGGCATCCTCTTAATCAGTCTTACCAATGTGYACTGTTCCCCTGCATTCAGACCCTGAGAAAAGCCACTGGCCCCATTTCCCATCTCTGAATGATCTTGTGCAGATGTGACCCATAGAAGTTCTTCAAATCTTTGGAGCCCAGCCACAGATGTGTTGCAGTCTTAGAAGTTGTGACCACCAGTTTCTGTCACTGAGCCTCAGCCCTCTTGGTGCAGTACTGTGCTCCTGCACAAGGCATGCAGGCCTGTGCCCCAGGCTGAACAGCCCAAAAAGAAAATCCTGTAACCAGAGGAGTGAAATTCCTGGTTGGAGTGAATGAAGCAAAAAGTTTAACCCCCTGCCTTGTGATAGGATGAACACATCAGAGCATTCCGTGAGCCCTGCATGTCCCTGGGAGTCACCAAAGAGCCTCTGAAACTCTTGAGACCAAAGGCACTTGTTCCCCCGACTGCTGCTCATCAAGACTTTTCTCCAGCATGAAGTAGCCTGATGACCGACCTAAAGTGCGCTCATCTCTCAAAGACGGCGTCTCTCTCCTGTGAATCCCCCAATGATGAGAAAGAGCTAAGCAGGCCCATGTGATCCTACCCATTAGCCTCTCTCCAGGGTGACCTAATGTCCCCGCAGCCACTCTACCCCTAGACGGTCTGCCATATTCATGACACCTGACCAGCATAAGGCCCATTTGAGTCCATTGGTATTGTCCAAGGACAGGACTCTGATGAAGCCACCTCTTCCTCCATTATGCTTCCAGGACCCCTCTCTGCTGCAAACTCCCAGATGTCTGGCTGGTGCCAAGCACTATTTAAAGACATGTGTTTGCATTCATCACATGCATATGGTTTTTCTCCAGTGTGAATTCTCTGACGTTGAATGAGCTTTGCTTTCTGAAAGCCCTCCCACATTTTATCGCATCTGTAGTTTCTGTTGCATGTGASGTAGCCAGTGCCGTGGGGGGGGGTGCTGACAGATGCCTCCCCCCGCCCACTCTCTACAAGATGAGTGTTATTTCAAAAGGACCGGAGCCCCAAGGAAATTGCCTGTATTCACAACAGTCAAAGCTGTTCTCTCCGATATGAAACTGTAACACTGAATAAATCCGGAATCCTTACCCAAGACTTGGCCACACGTGTCTTACTTGGACCTTATCTCACTTCTAAAGAGTTGAATGCAGATTTTTCCATGTTTACCACACTTAAGGGATGGGGTCCCTGAGACAGGGCTCTGAGGTGTGTCCATCTTCATGGCCTGGTGTGTCTATCTTCATGGCCTGGCCAGCGTCAGCGTCAGCGCGTCCTCTTTGCTCCCTCTGCTGTGGAAGACCCTGTTTGGATGTCAGCTTGTTGTTCCTGGTCCCTTCTCACAATATAAAATTGTGGAAAATATAAGTATGGACCATTCTCAAAGGACAAGACAATTACTTGGACTGAGGGTGAAAGATTTTGGAAGAAGAATTAAAGACTGCCTTTGAGCAAATATACAAAATGATGGCTTCTTCAGATTGCTGGTTATTTAGTTCTCATTCCTTTCATGAACTCAGTTTTGGTTACAGTGAAAATGTGCCTATTAAAAATACCTTTTCTAGTGACATGGGAGGGGCATGGGGGAGGTACAAGGAGGCTGTGGAGTGCTCTGTCCATTGTTCTGGATTACTGACCAGGTGGACATGCTCACCTTGGGAAAATCCATCAAGTTTTTTTTTTTTTTTTTTTTTTTTTTTTTAAGAGAGAGCCAGAGAGAGAGAGAATTTTAATATTTATTTTTTAGTTTTCGGCGGACACAACATCTTTGTTTGTATGTGGTGCTAAGGATCGAACCCAGGCCGCACACATGCAAGGCGAGCGCACTACCGCTTGAGCCACATCCCCAGCCCCATCAAGTTTTATATCTGTAATTTGTGCACTTTTTATACGTGAAAAGTAAAAAAACTAAAAATCTGTCTCTTCCCCCTTTCAGCAACAGGGCAGTCATGACAAATAAGATACAAGCAGAATTTGTGCTTCCAAAATACTTTGAAGGCAGCAGCCTCTGGACCGTGACCCTTGTTGCTTCTCCCTATCTGGTCCCCTTCCTGCCTGCTCCCAGGATGTGACCAGGTAGAGAAGACCATGGGCAGAAGGTGGCTCCGTGAACATAGGAAGGGGCCCCTTCTCATGGTTATGAAATTTTTCTTTTATAGTTTCTAAGTTTTGTGTGCTTGTACTTTTTCTAGTTCAGAATTATTAGGATGTTAAGCCCTTCCTCCTCCCAGTGTGTGTGTGGGGGGATCTCACTATATTGCTCAGACTTGAACTCATGGGCTCAATCAATCCTCCTGCTGCAGCCTCCCAAGTAGCAGGAACTACAGGTGCATGGCACATGCCTGGCTTATTAACCGATTTCAACAGTTCTTTTATGATTTTTTKGGGGGGAGGGGATACTGGGGATTTAATCCAGGGGTGCTYAACCACTGAGCTACATCCCCAGCCTTTATTTTTTATTTTGAAACAATCTCACTAAGTGGCTAAGGCTGGCCTGGAACCTTGTGATCCTCCTGTCTCAACCTCCAGAACCACTGGGATTACAGGCGTGTGCCACTACACCTGGCTAGTATTTTTAAGATTTCATTTTTATGTTCAAGTCTTAGATCGAAGTGGAATAGGAGCCAGTTCTCCCCTCCCACCCATGGTCAACCAGCTGTCCCAACAATACCTAGTGAATAACTCTTCCCAACTATTTTGAAATGCTAACTTATTGTTAAATTCGTATTTAAATTGGGTCTTTGTCTTTAATCACTTTTATTTATCTGTCTGAATCTTCTCTAGTACCTAATTATTTTGCTTTATCATTTGTKTTAGCATCTAATAAGGCCAGTCTCCTCATTACCCATTTTTTCACAACACTCATGTTAAAAAAGGGGGGCAGTTAAGTTGGGTCACTCAGATTGAAAAATGAAAAAAAAAAATGGAGATTGGACCAGAGGCACTTTACCACTGAGCCATAGCCCAGACCATTTTATTTCATTTTAAGATAAGGTCTTGCTAAATTGCTGAGGCTGACCTCAAACTTGCCATCCTCCTGCCTCAGCCTCCTCATCCCTGAGATCATAGGCATGCACCATCCCACCTGGCTGAAAACTACTTTCAAGAAGTGTTAAATGTGGCCAGTTGACAACACATGGACAAGATATTAGATAAAAAAATGATGAAAGGAAAATAATGTAACATAATCACAAAATATTAGGTTCACTTATGTCAGAGATGCACAAAGCTTCCATAATATAGATAACATCTTAACAATATCCTTATTCTAAGTAATCATGGTTTTTTCTACAAGTTCTTCCTGGAACCATCTTATATAAAGAGGTCATATTTTCTCTTAATAATTACTTGTATCCAGAACTCAGCATCAAAGAAATCCCAGCTCTAATAAAAAATACATCAAAAACGTAATATGCTTCGAGTCCTATGACGTGGAGGTATATATATATAGATAAGCACACAGATACCCAGAGATATATTATCTCAACACTGGTGATTATACAGGTCTCAATGAAGTGTAAATTCTACACAAAGCAAAAAACCACTCTGCCATTCTATCCAGTCTAAAAATAGTCTATGACAAAAAAAACAAACATAATGTTAGCAATTGTGCTTCCCTTTTTGGAATTCAGGAAGATCATGAGGAAATTATGTGTGATGTGCAGGTTCTTTTCAAAATAAGCTTTCCACAGAAAACGGAAATGATCCTTTCTCTTTCGTCTGATACATTTCCCTGAAACAAACAGATGCATTCAGAATAATTCCATTGACCTTACTGCTGCATATAATTTTAGGCTTTCCCAGATCATGGCTATTATGGTTGTATTTAAGGCATCATTGGGAAATATGAGACCTAGTTTCTTGTGTCGTGCCTTTACTGGAGAAATGTTCCATGTTTGTGTAATAAAAATGACATGTTTGAAAAAATATGGACTCAGTAAAAAATTAATTTCTCCAATGAGTCAGAATTTGCTAGAGAAAAACAAGCATATAGGCTGCTCAGTTGCCTTCCTTCCAAAGAAGACATTAGGGAAGGGGGCAATTGGGAGTAACTGCAGTGGAGAAGCCCAGAAAACAGGGCCTCCCCCAAGCCCTGATGGTGAACACTGATGGGATTAGACATGTTGAATATGTACCCCACCTGTGATGTGATGAGAAGGGCCATCATCCCCCAAACCCATAACTCCAGTCTGATGAGAAAAGTGTGAAATAAAGCCCAAATGAGGGGCATTCTACAAAACACCTAAACAGTATTTGTCAAAACTGTCAAGGTCAGCAAGAACAAGGGAAGTCTGAGAAAACGGTCTCAGCCAAGAGGAGCCAAGAAGACACAACAGTTAAATGTCATTTCGTGTCCTGGATGGAACAGGAAATGACATTAGGTAGATTTTTAAGGAAATTTAAAAGCCTGAGCTTTAATAATATTGATTATTCAATTGTGGCAGATGAACCATAAGAGATCAATAATAGAAGAAACTAGGTATGGAGTATTATCTTTGGAACTTTCCTGTAACAAAACTATCCTAAAGTTTTTATTAAAAACAAGATAGAGGGCTGGGGCTACAGCTCAGTGCAGAGCACTTGTCTAGCATGTGAGGCACTGGCTTCAATCCTTAGCACCACATAAAAATAAACAAAGGCATTCTGTCCATCTACAACTACAAAAAAAATTTAAAAAACAAGTTAAAAACAAAACTATTAGAAGAGGTTGATGTTGTTTCCAGACAAGATGACATAGATGCAGAGTTATCTGTTCTTCCCCCTGAGTACAGCTTAAACCTTGGATGTCATGCATAAGACAAATATCAGAAGGGACTCTCCAGGGACCTTGGGACTGAAGAGATGGCACAGCACTGAGTTCCCTGGATTTTCTGGTTATTTTCTCTATATCCTGGAATGGGCATGGAAGAAGCATGCAACCCAGAAAGCCCACTATATACAGACCAAAAAGCAAAGCCCCAGATCCAGAGAAAGGGCACAGCCCATCAGGATAGGAATATTTTTGGCAATGTCTGCCCTACTCTAGACAAATACCATGCRGAAGAAAACCTCTACCCCAGCCCCACCCTAACCCACAATCATCAGAGTTCAAGTGTGAGCCCAGACTCCCTAGCAGGAATGGGGTGTTCCTCTCCATTTACATGCTGTCACCAAGAAGAGAAGAACCAGGACTCACCCCTACCCCATGGTAATGAGGTAGAATGTGCCATGACCTACCAGTGTGGTGTTAGCAGAGGTCTGCTAAAATAGACTTCAGTTTAAGATTCAGAGCCTCATAATAGCTAAAAATGTCTAGATTACAATAGAAAAGTAACTCATCTTACTGAGAATCAGAAAAATGAGAAAAGATAACATGTCAACCCTGAGATGATATGAGGTTGAGTTTATATGACAAGGACTCTGAAGCAGCCATCACAAAAAAAAAAAAAAAAAAAAACACTTCAGTGTACAATTATGAACGTCCTTGAAACAAATGAAAAATTAGGCTCAGCAAAGAAGTAGAAAGAATAAAGAAGAATCAGGGCTGGAGATGTGGCTCAAGTGGTAGGTGCTCGCCTGGCATGCGTGGGGCGCTGGATTCAATCCTCAGCACCACATAAAAATAAAATAACGATGTTGTGTCTACTGAAAACTAAAAAAATAAATATTAAAAAAATTCTTTCTCTTTAAAAAATAAGAATCAAATTTAAATCTTACAACTGAAAACAATACAATAATAAAAGTTTAAAACTCACCAATTTTACTCATTATTAACAGTACAGAGATGACAACAATAAGAACAATTGATGAAAACTACCCAAACCAATCAATAGAAGGAAAATTGAAAAAAATTAACAGGACTTCAGGAGCCTGTGGAAGAAATTTTAAAAATGTAACATATCATTGGAGGAAGGGTAAAAGGAATGAATGTAGGGCTGAAAAAATATTCCATGAAGTAATACTTGAAACTTCTCCAAATTTGGCAAAAGCCAAAATCCTACAGATTCAATAAATGCAAAGGAATCTGTATCAAGTAATATCATAATCAAACTTCTGAAAACTAAAGCCAAAAAGTCTTGAAAGCAGCTATGATGTTTCTTAAAATAATGTATCACCTCTAGACACGATATGAATAACAGCAGATCTCCCACCAGAAACCATGGAAGCCAGAGGTAAGTGGCACCATATTTGTTAGGTGCTGAAAGAAAAAATCTGCTAGTCCAGAATTCTATATCCAGCAAAAGTATCCTTCAGAAATGAAGAGAAAAATCAAGTCATTCTTGATGAAGGAAAACTAAGAAAATTTGTTACCAGCTGATATCCCCTAAGATGATAACTAAAGAAAATTCTTCAAACTGAAAGTAAATGATAAAAAGAGGAAACTTGAAACACTACGATGGAGAAAGAACAACTATAAAAAATTATGGGTAAAAAACTATCCTCTTGAGTTTTAAAAATGTTATGCTTGACAGTTGAACCAAAAAGTGTAGCATTGTCTGAGTGGTTCTCATTGTATGCAAAGGAATACAATTTTAAGGAATAAAATTTAAGATAATTTTAAAGTAGGAGGGAAAGAAAGTAGAGAACTAAATGGAGATACCRTGGTAAAACGATGTCAGTTGTCTATTGTGGAGGAAAAAAACTATACAAAGAAATGCACTCAAAAACAGTATAAATAAACCAAACTGGGGTTATAAAAAA